TGAATAAGTATGGTGAAAGAATATAACCCTGTTGCACACCTTTCTTCATTTTAAACCATTCACTGTTCCCATGTCCTGCTCAAAAACTGCCTCTTGGTCCAGATACAGATTCCCCATGAGCACAATTAATTGTTCTGGAATACTCATACTTCACAATGTTGTCCATAGCTTGTCATGATCCACACACTCGAAAGCCTTTGTGTAGTCAATAAAGCACAGGTAGACATCTTTCTGATATTCTCTGCTTTCAGCCAAGATCCATTGGATATCAAATATTTATAGGGCACTTATTTTATACTCTGCGTAGTTCTCAGCTTGTCATGATCCACACAATCGAAAGCCTTTGCATAGTCAAGAAGGCACAGTGGAAGCAGAAATGGGCTCAAACGTGGCAACAATTGTGAGTTTGGCACAGGGCCTGACAGTGTTTTGTGCTGTTGTGCATAGGGTCGATATGAGTCGGTACTGACTTGATGGCACCTGACAACAAAAACAACAACAGTTCTGAGCACTGAACTTACTACTTATTCATTTAATCCTCGTATCTTCCAACTAGAGTTGTTTGTGTTGTTAAGTGCCATCAACTCAGTTTTGACCCATAGCAACCTTATGTACAACAGAAAGAAACACTGCCTGGTTTTATGCCATCCTCACAACTGCTGCGAAGCTTGAGCCTTTACGATTCTTTTCTAATTCCTTACCTCAGATGCATCCATTATTCTATGGTCTTCCTTATTCACTGTCCAACTTTACATGCAAATGAGGCTACTGGAGTAGCACTGTCATTATTTTCACTTTGCAGATAAGGAAAGTAGGCACAGAGATAGGCAGTAAATAAACATTTGAGGAATGAGTAAATTAATAATCAGAGTCTTCAAATTGCAAAAGGGAAAAGAGTAACTTCAACATATTGAGTGCCAGCATGATCTGTAGACCCACTTCTTGTATGTATCCTCTTTGAATGCCCCCAATGAAGCATATATTATGAATCCCAGTTTATCCATGAGGGAATTGAGGCTCAAAGACGTAAAACAATTTGACCTGCAAATTGAAAGATCCAGGATTTAAGCCCAGTGGTGTCTACCAGCACTCCTAATCTCTCAGTGCTTGTCTTGTTGATCTGTGGTCATTGGTCCAAGGGCTGAACTATGTAAGACACAGCTGAGAAAACAAAACCAAAAATGACTCAGGCAACTAAACAGATGCCATGATATTCCTATTTTAGACACAATTCTAGCAAGCCTCTCCTCCTCACACCAGAAGTTGGATAAGAATAGTGTTAGAGTGGCTGCTACTAGCAGGAAGGCAAGGGAGGAATTATTAAAACAATAGCCAACAAAAGTTAGGACCCTGGAGCCCTTGACTATCGTGGCAAGTGGCTCTACCTATCTCAAGTGTATTGCACCTGTAGCACAATTATTGGTTACATTATACATGAGAACTCAGGGTTCTATGTTGCAGAAGTAAGTTGGAACAGAGTTCTATCATTCTCTGGCAGAGAGATTTAATCACCTGGGACTTTAACGTCCTCACCTGGGAGATGGAGACAGTGATGTTGGTTCCCCCGCCTCTCCCATGGTACCTGCAGAAGTCAAACTTCTGAAGGCAAAAGCATTTTGTCAACAGTAACCAAGGTGAGTTACTATGTTTGATATTTTATGCTTAAGAAAACTAAGGAGCAGACAATACATTTTTGGAAGGTTTCCAGTAATGTGAGGAAACTAAGAAGAAGCCATAATACTTAGAGGGGTGCTTTTCATTATCTGGAAGCTTCCCTCTTGCAGGTCCCTTCAGGAAGCTGAGTCACAACAAGACATGAATGAATAACTGTGCCTCCCTCTTTCTTGGTCCCTATCAGGGTATCTATCCAGTCATCTTCTGCTTAAAGGGCATCTGTTATTGCAAATGGCATACCTAAGAAGGTCAGGGACAGACAGAGCAGTACACTGAGTATGTCATTGTTGTTGTTGTTAAGTACCATCGAGTTGGTTCCGACTCAGAGCGACTATGTATAGGGTTTCCAAGGAACAGCTGGTGGGTTTGAACTGCTGACCTTGTGGTTCACAGTCCAGTGCTGATACTACAGCGTCACACCAGAAGTCCTCACTGAGTATAGACTCTGAAATGTAGACATAACTAGTTCAAAATAATCTGGGTCATTGGTGATTCCGTGTAGAATTCTAATGCAGGAGACTCGGGTTCTAGTCTCAGCCCACATACCCATGTGCAGCCAACACTCGTAGCTTGCATGTTACTATGGTGCTTAACAGGTTTCAGCAGAATTTCCAGGTATAAAGAACGGCCTGGTGATCTACTACTGAAAATCAGTCCATGGAAAGTTTAAGGGTCACAATGGTCTAATCCTTAACCAATATTGGGGATGCGACAGGACTGGGCCACATTTTGTTCTATTGAGTATGGGGTCACCATGAGTCAGGGGCTGATACAACTGCAGCTAGCAACAACAACGTTCAAAAATGAGAGCAAATACTCTTTGGGGACAAGAAACTGAGAAAGGACAGCTCATGCCCTCAGCTAGCTCTGGGGGAGGTCATTTAAGCTTCAAGGTAGGTATCCATGGGGAATACCAATCGGCAGTTTGCTCCATCTCTCAACAGAAAAGCCAGCTGTAGAGTCACCATCCTCCTCCCTGTTAATTCAATTCTCTTTCATTGAACACAGGTCCAAAGATGGGCAAGCAAGTCCCTTCCCTCAAGGAGCTCGTAACCTTTGAGGGAAAGGTACGCTGTAGGGTGAAAACAGTCTCATTGATGGTCACTCACTCTCACTACGCACATACTTATCATGTGATGTGCCATGGACTGTTCTAAGATCTTTACATGCATGATCTAATTTCACCCTCTCAACAATCCTATTTTTAGAATCTCTGTTTCAAAGTGGAAACTAAGGTCCAGAGGAGTTAAGACAATAGTCCAAAGTTCTCAGTTAGCAAATGGTAGAGTCAAGATTCAAACTCAGGCCCTGACTCCAGGCATAGCTCTTGTGGTCAGCATCATAGGAGAACATAGATAAAGTACCGTGGGGAGTCCCGGGGGTGTTGGGATACTGGGTGGGCTTTGGAACTAGCTAGACTGTCATTCTAAAAGTGCCCTGTCACTTACTAGCCAGGAGGCTAGGAGGGTCAGTAGTTTTCAAAGACAAAGCAGGTCAGTGGAGGGCAGTTGTGGATATTTATCACAGGAGCTGCCAGAAGGCGGGTGGACGGTGTTACCTCAGGTCTGACTCACAGGACCAAAGGGGACAGGAAAGAGCACATGAGGATGTGAGGCAGGTTGTCAGCGAAGGCCTTTATGGAAGAGGTGTCTTTTAAAATAGATCTTGAAGGATCAGAAATTAGATTAACTTCAAGAAATGCAGGTAAGGTTGGACAGATATGGGCAAAGACCCTGGAGATGAAAAAGCTGAGACTATATTTAAGGGCCAGATTGGCTGGAACCCAGGGAAAGAGCTGGGGAGTAAAGCAAGGTGTGGCTGGAAAGAAGCTGGCAGGGAGGTGACTTCTGCCTGTGTTTACTGAGAAACCACTTTGTATATATGCTCAACAGCAGGCACCATAGGGCTTATCCTTTGAAAGGAACAGGAAGCGAAGGCAGCAAGGTCAGGTTCTCTCTATAGAGAACTGATCGCCACAGGGATTGACTGGCACCTTCCTTTCCTTCCCTACAGCCTTACCCAGAAGCTGTGCTTGTTGCCCCACTGGAAAGCAAAACACACACACCGCCACAGGCATAGTCACCACACAGATAAACATACACACACAAATGGGATGAGAAGCCAATTTGATTTCCCAAAGGATTGCAAACTTCTTAGATGATGTTAAAATAGATGAAGAATCCACTTTAATCTTTTTCGGGGTGGGCGATGAAAGGCTGAAGAGCATTGCTTAGGGATTTACAACTCAACCATTTGCAAGAAATGAGCTGCCAACACTTAGAGGCAAAATCCTCAGTTCCTAAAACCAACATCTCCCACACCTTTCTGGGGTTTAGCTGTCTCTGTGGTTGTCCAGGGTGGGTGGCGGATGGGACAGTCCTAAATGGGGCCTGTCCAGTCCAGGCCTCACCAGTAGCTCCCACAACTTGGGAGTTTGCCTTCTAAAATGGGCAGATTTCCTCCTTCCTAACCCCTAAAGATCTTTCTGTTTGTGCTAATCATTTGGCAGATTATCCCAACTGATCTGTCCCTGCTCTTCTATCTTTGGCTCAAATTATAAAGAAAAGAATCTGATAGGTAATTTTTATCAGTGTGTAATATGCCTTCTCAACCAAATTGTGAACTTCTTGAAGTGAATGCCCAAGGTGTGTTCATCTTATCTGTGGCCCTTTGTTCAGGACAGACTAGGTAGTAAATGCTTTGTCACAATGCTAGATGATAAATCCTGATTCTCTTCTCTGATAATATAGATCTTGAATGTCTACTAACACTATCTTCTAATAACATAGTCACTAAAGTATTCATCTGTGTACTCCAAGCATCTAAAACAGTGCCTGGCAGACAATAGTCCAACGAGAGCTCCCTTTGAAGTCATTCTCATTCCAGTTTGGAAGAAAGACTTCATCCATATAAGCTGGGACCTGAGGGTGGATGGGAATTAGGCAAGTGAAGGTGGGAAGTAGTTGTGGAAGACTGGGAAGAATCTTCCAGCAGAGGGAACAGCTGGAGAAGGTCTGAAGATTAGTGAGGGTGTGCATATGTGTGGCCATGTGGGAGGGAATGCGGAAAGCAGTTCATTGTGGATGAAATCAGAAGATGGATGCCCTTTCATTAGCACAGGAGGGAGGAAGGCAGGGAGGCAAAAGCAGGCAAATTTATAGGTCTGATTGCAGAAAGCTGAGAAAGTTTCCATATGATGGCTTCTATTTTCTCTGTGAAGAGGAAGGTAAGGTTATCTTCTGAGAGGAAGGAGGGGTGGAGGCTCCAGGAGAGAGAACTAGGTTTAGAAATAGCCACTGAAAGGAGAGAGAACTGAGTTGGGGAAGATGGAAGGATGGCTAGTTAGAGCTGAAGGTCCAGTTGAGGTTGGAGACCACACGTTTCCATTACACCAGAGCATGGCTGGCTGAGATTTTTTTCAGTACCTGAATAAAGGCAGAGAAGGCAGAGAAGGTGGACTGATTTGGTCTGAGCTTTCATTAGATGGGAGGGATGAAGAGACAACAGGGCAAGAACATGGAGGATTATGGCTAAAGTGTGACTGAAGGAGAGGACCAAGAAGGAGAGGGAAGAACTGGTAGACAGCTAGGGAGAGAACAGAAGTCAAAAGTCTGGATGTCCCAAAGATGAAAAACTGATGCATTGGAGATGACTTAAACTGCTGGAAGTGTAAGAGGCTATAGTCAGAGTGTTATGGCCAAAGCAGGTGCTGATGTAGTTACTGACAAACTAAGAAGCAGGAGAGCCTAGCTTTGAAAAGGCTGTACTGAGGAGAGATGAGGCCTGCTCCTGAACCCAAACAGATATGGTAAACGCTGACACTCAGATTCCAGGGTTCCCAGGAATCAATCAGACCCACACTCTTATTTGAAAACCAGGGACACTGGTGGGACTGGCGCCCAGGAAACCTGCCCTCCTGGGCCAGCACTCTCCTCCCTTGCATGCACTTCCCTCCCCAAAAAGATGGGGCAAAGTGAGAAAAGGTGAGGCCAGGTGAGGAGTTCTTTGCAGCCCCGCCGGGGCAGGCACACTCCCGGCACTC